GTGGGATCTTCCCGGACCGGGGCACGAACCCGTGTCCCCTGCATCAGCAGGCAGACTCTCAACCATTGCACCACCAGGGAAGCCCCCTAATAACGGTTTTAATTCCTGTTCTGCTCGTTATTACGTCTCTATCAGCTCTGATTTGTCTTCAGTTGATAGATTCTTCTCCTTATTATGTGTTGTGTTTTCTCTGCTTCTTTGCACACCTGGTGATACAGGATGGGATGCCAGACATTAAGAATCTTGGCTTGTCCGTTGGGTACTTTTGCATTCCTGTAAATATTCTTGAGCTTTATGTTATGTTACTTGGAAACAGTTTGATCCTTTGGGCCATTTTTTGAGATGTATAGGCAGAGCCAGAGCAGTGTTTAGTCTAGGGCTCATTATTCCCACTGTTGAAGCAAGACTTTGTGAGCACAGCGGCACGTGCCTCTGAGTTACGAGGTTCTGAGAGCGGCGGGAAGCAAGCACCCCAGGCCTGGTGTGGTTTTCTCACACTTGCGCGTGATCCATGCTCTGCTGAGTGTGGGGTTTGCTCTGTGCCGCTCTCGCCTCTCATCCCTGCGGTGCTGGCCCCTGTCGCCCCTCCTGGCTGGATGCAGACGCCTCCCTAGTATCATGTTTACCGTGTTCCCTAGAAACTTTGAGGGATGATAAAATGTGCGTCTACTTTATTTCCCTTTTTAAATAAGTAGAGGGTTAAACAGATAATAAAAGAAGTGGGGAAAGTGGGAGAAAAGGGGAAAACTATTGATTTCATTTAAGCAATTTCTGTTTTGCTTGTTTTAGCATCCATTCTAAAGAGATCTTCCATTCTTTGACAATTTCTTTCTCTCGATGCTGGGAATTTCTTCTCTGGATGGATCCCTCTAACTATGGTGGAATCAAAGGAAATGTTCCATCTAGTATTCACTGTGGACAGGTAAGAGGTAACCAGTCTTAGAGAGCAGAGGTTGGAATCTGAAGCAACTTTAGGGGTCCACATTGGTCCCTTCAGTGCACACTTGAGGGTCACAGGCCGAGTGCCAGGCACACAGTTCTAGGCCCCGGTCACGTAGTCCTTGCTCTCATGGAGTCTGTGAGGGCAAAGATCACGAACAAGCAAACAAGTAGATGTATACGCCAGTGTCAGCAATGATGAGGGCTCGGAGTAAACAAAAAGCAGGGTAGAGATAGAGAGTGAGCCACGGGGGAGGGGCCGATTTGGATGGGGAGGTCGAGGAGTCCTCTGAGGGGGTGACGGAACTGCAGTGTTAGGCTGCCGTGAGTTATGGGACAAGCAGAGACAGTGGTCACAGGTGTGGGCAGAGAGCTGGCTGGGGCCAGGCCACTTGGGCCTGAGGGCTGTGATGGACACTTGGCTTTTAGTGATGGGGAGATTCTGAGTGGGGGACTGTCAGGGCCTGACTTCCACTTGGATCCTGAGTGGACAGCACCGCAGGAGGTCAAGGTCTGAGTGGAGCCCGGTTAGTGTCGGCCCAGGGGAGGATATGTGGGGCAGGGTGGAGTCAGGGAGAAGGACTCCGGTGGGCATTGCAGGTGGAGTGGATGGGCCAGCAGAATGAATGTGGGGTGACGCCCGGGGGCACAGGGGCGATGTCTGGGCGAGAAGGTTGTAGGTGGGCCTGTGCTTGGGTGTGTGAGCCCCGATGGACGGGGCAGGAGGGCGAGTATGGGGGGAGGGGCTGTGCTTGGCTGCGGCGTGTGGTGTTTGCCGAGCCTGACGTTTGCTTGACGTGCACAAGGTGGAGAGGCAGAGGTCAGGTGGTGGCAGGGCCGTCAGGGGAGGGGCTGGGGGTGGGAACTTGGGGTCATCCCAGCTGCTGAGCCTGGCAGCTGGGACTGGTGAGAACACCTGGGGGTGAGCGTGGGTTGAGAGGCCTGAGTGCCCCCAGGGCAGGTCCCCATGGAGGAAGCTGCCAGTGGGTAGGGGAACTGGGGGGATGGGGCCTCAGGCATCAAAGGGAGAGTGGCCCCAGAAGGAGGGAGCCGTGCTGCTGAGAGCAGATAGGAAACAGAGGCTGCCCTTGGTGCTGGGGTTGGGAGGGCCACTGAGACCAGGATGGGAGAGAAGGAAGTGCAGGCCATGTAGACGAATCAAGGGAAGGCAGTGGTGGCTGCTGCTCTGAAGGATGGCGGCCGTCAGAGTTCAGATGTTGAACATTCTTGCCTTCCTGGGAGGTGGGAGTTGAATAATTTTAAAGTGAATCCTCTGAAAGAGCAAACGAGAGTAGCAGTCAGCTGTGTATTGAGTGCTTCTGTGCACCAGGCACGTTCCATAAATGACCTTACTCTTAAAGCCGTCCCGCAGGAATCTCACCTGGGCTCGGGGGGTGAACAGGGCACCCGCTGGGCGGTGCTGCTGTGCACAGACGTGACTGGGGTTGTCTCTGTGTCCCAGCAAGACTCCCCCGAAGAGGGCAGAGCAGAGGGGGAGGAGCCTGAGGAGGAACCTGAGGAGGGAGAGGAGGAGGGAGGTGCACAGGAGCTGGATGTCGAGGACCTGCTGGAAAACAGCTGGAACATCCTGCAGTTCCTGCCGCAGGCAGCCTCCTGCCAGAGCTACTTCCTCATGATCGTTTCAGGTGAGTCGTCCACACTCTCCATAGTGCCTGAGCCACGCAGTGGGAATAACGTGGCCCTGGTGGGAGCACGCCCAGAGTCGGGGGCCCCTGAGGGGCGCCCTGGCTGCACAGCACTGTGAGAGGCGGGGAGGAGACCCTCGGCCCCTCGCAGAAGCTCACCGTGAGGAAGGCTGCCCTTCCCGGGGCGTCACGAAGGCTTCGTGGCCCTGCCCCCGAGGTTTGTGCGCGTGCACATATAGTGATCAAGGTAAACCCCAAGTAGAAAAGTTTAGACACTTCCTGAATCGACTGCCCCACTGGCTGGTCCTTGAGGCTCAACTTATGGTGTAAGAAACTCCTATATTTCATCTGGGTCTAAAGGTTTAGTGTTAGTAACAACATTTTAAATCAACTATACTCCAACAAAATTTTTAAAAACGAAGAAAAAGGTTTAGTGTTACAAATCAAATTATTTAGCTTGATGTGTAAACGAAGTGTGTAGATTAAACACCTGTTATAATTCAGAGCTAATCATTAGAACAGTTGATGAAGAGCATGATAAATTAAATCATAAATTGTCAGCAGACGCATAGACGTAGATATAGGTGCACCCACGTACATAGCGACAGAGGTAGTTCCGTTGTGGTTATTTTATATTTATATTTTGTCGACTTGTCTTTGAGCCCTTTGCTTTCTTAAGTTCTCTTCTGGAATGTGTGGGCCTGGTGGAGACTTTGGAGAAGTGTGCTGTGTCTGGGGGTCGAGGCGAGCCCTCTGTCTTGCCGTCCAGTGTGAAGGTTGACACGTGTTGCCTGAGCTTGGGCGTCAGCGAGTGCCCTGCGTGTCCCCATTTCTCTGATTGACTTTGGCTCATCTTAGTGCAGCAAATAGAATCATCGCTACTAATGACATTTCAGCCAGTCTGGCCGGCAGTGTGACTAGCCACAGGGTGCCCCCGGATTCTGGGATGTTGGCGGCAATGGCAAATCTCGGGGCCTGTGGCCTGAGCCTGCCCTCTCTCTGCAGCATACATCGTGGCCGTGTACCACAGCATGAAGGAGGAGCTGAGGCGCAGCGCCCCGGGCAGCACCCCTGTGAGGAGGAGGGGGGCCAGCCAGCTCTCCCAGGAGGCCCAGGGAGAGGCCGGAGCCCTTCCGGGTGAGCGCCCTTGCCACGGGGGGCCACCACTGTGTGCTCCTCAGGGGTCCTTCCCTCGGTGTCGCGATCGCCGTGCAAAATAGGGAGCAGGCATCGTGTTGCTTCTCTTCCCAGGAATGATCACCTTCTCACAAGATTATGTGGCGAACGAACTCACTCAGAACTTCTTCACCATCACACAGAAGATTCAGAAGAAAGTCACAGGCTCTCGGAACTCGACTGAGCTCTCAGAAATGTTTCCTGTCCTCCCCGGTTCTCACCTGCTCCTCAATAACCCCGCTCTGGAGTTCATCAAATATGTGTGCAAGGTGAGGACACTCCCATTGACGTGTGTGCAGGTCACTCCTTTCTTCCAGAAACACCCACTGCGCCCACTCCATGCGGCCGCTGTGGGAAAGACCTCTGTTCTCACTCCGCTGAGGGGGCACAAGTCAGTGAGGGACAGGTGAGCTCAGAGAGCACAGGTGCTGAGAGGTGGGCTCAGGGGCGGGCAGGTGAGGAAGGCCCTGTGATGGGGCCTCGGGCTGAGGATGAGGCCACTGGGGCTGAGAGGGTCTGGCCATGGGCAGAGGGGATGCAGAGACCCTGGGGAGGGATGACCTGCTGGTGCTGGTGAAAGGTGAGTAGTGGGACGGCAGGTGCTCACGGATCACGTGGGGCTGGTGGGCCAGACTAGGAACTGGACAGGGCTCCCAAAACGTCTGGGCTGCTGTGAAACCTGAGAGGAGAGCTTGCTCGGATGCTAAATGCCTTTCTGGGAAAGGCAGCCTGCATCAAACGGTGGCATAATATTACCAGATGAGGACCCAGCCGGCGTCATCCCTTGCGGAGCATTTTACTGTCCGTTAAATTACCTCCCAGCAAATCACAGTTTCACAGTGACCAATTGACTTCTGATTGTGGTAAAGAAATGGTTTAGTGTACCATTTTAATTCCTTGGTAGACTTCAGAATTTTTAAGTTTTATTTTTATTAAAGTATAATTTACAGGGACTTCCCTGGTGGTCCAGTGGCTAAGACTCTGCCCTCCCAGTGCAGGGGGCCCGGATTCAGTACCTGGTCAGGGAACTAGATCCCACGTGCCACAACTGAAGATCCCACATGCAGCAACGATGATCCTGCATGCCGCAACTAAGAGCTGGCGCAGCCAAGTAAAGAAATAAGTACATGTTTAAAAGAACAAGTATAATTTACATACAGGAAAATTCACCATTTTAGTGTGCATTCCATGAGGTACCCAATCACGCCTTCAGGATACAGAACCAGAGTCCCCCACCCCTGGCACGCTCTGATCTGTCTGTCCCTATGTTCATTTACTTTTTGAAAGTTGCATGCAGTAAAAGACACTCTCCGTGCAGTGCAGTCGTTCGAGTTTTCACACATGGATAGGGCTGGCCAGCAGCAGCCAGGTAGGTACACAGCGGTCACCACCCCAGAGACTCCCCCCGCGCTTCCCCTTGGGCTCAGCTCCTTGCGCCTGGGTCACCACCCCAGAGACTCCCCCGTGCTTCCCCTCGGGCTCAGCTCCTCGCTCCTGCAGCCCTGGAACCGCCGATCTGTCATCTGTCCCTGCGTTGTGACCGCTTCCAGAATGTCACACGAGTGGAATGGTTGGTCATGTAGCCTTTTAGGTCTGACTTCCTTCAGTCAGCAGAATGCACCCGGGGCTCCTCCATGTCATTGCTTGTCTCAGTGCTTCGTTCCTTTCCATCGCTGAGTCTTTTGCTCCCTTGTTGTGTGGGAGAACCACAGTTCCCCGGTTGAAGGACATTCAGGTTGTTTTTACGTTTTTGGTGACTGTTAGTAAAGCTGCTGTAAACATTCTCATAGAGAAGGTTTTGGGTGAACATAAGTTTCATTTCTCTTGATAGAAACCTAGCAGGGGACTGGCTGGGTCATGTCGTGCTTGTTTCTAAAGTGGCCCCGTTTTGCCACTTTTCAGGCCTCTCATCAGCGGTGTATGGCTACAGTCCAGCTGCTCCACAACCCGCTAGAACTTGGTGGTGTTGATTTTCAAGATTTTATCTGTCCAGATAGGTGTGTAGTGGTATATCATTGTGGTTTTAACTTGCATTTCCCTAATGCTAATGATGTGAAGATTTTATGCATGTGCTTGTTTGCTCTCCATGTGTTTTTGGTGAAATGTCCAGAGCTTTTGCCCATTATTAAAAATTGTTTCTTTTTAAAATAATTTTTATTGGAGTATAGTTGATTTACAATGCTGTGTTAGTTTCAGGTGTACAGCAAAGTGAATCAGGGTTGTTTTTCTTATTGTTGAGCTTTGAGAGTTCTTCATATATTCTGTATATAAGTCCTTTATCAGATCTGTGATTTCCAAATACTTCCTCCCAGAATTTGGCTTGCCTTTTCAAAATTCCATTTTTCAGTGAGCAGAGGGTCTTAACTTTTATCTAATTTGTCACTTTTTAAGGGTTGAGCTTTTGGTGTCATATCTGAGAAATCTTTGCTTTAACCAAGGTCACAAAGTTTTTCTCTTATGTTTTCTTCTAGATTCTAGAAGTTTTATAGTTTTAGGTTTTATATTTAGTCTGTGATTCATTTTGAGTTAATTTTTGTGCAATGTGCATGTTATAAATTGAGGTTCATATTCTGCATAAACATGTCCAATTATTCCGGCATTATTTGTTGAAAAAATTAGCCTTACTCCATTTAAATATGTTTGTGCTTTTTTCAAAACTTAACTGGCCATATATATGTGTGTGGGTCTGTTTCTGGGTCTCCATCAATCTGAATATCTGTCTGTTCTCCAATACCACACTGTCTAAATTTCTGTAACTTTATCAATAAGTCTTGAAACCAGGTAGTGTGAATGCTTTAACTTTATTCTTCTTTTTCAAAATTATTTTGACTATTTTAGTTCCTTTGCCATTCCTTATAAATTTCAAATCAGCATATCAATTTCTACCAAAAAAAAAAATCCTCTTGGATTGTTGATTGGAGTTGTTTGGAGTCTTGGATTAATTTAGGGAGAATCGATATCTTAATGTTCAGGCTTCCAATCCATGAACCACTATATCTTTCCATTTATTTAAGTTGTCTTTGACTTCTTTCATCAGTGTTTTTGGAGCTTTCAGCATAGAAATAGTGCACATATTTGCACCTCAGGTTTTTATGGTTTGGGTGCTATTGTAATGGCACTGATTTTTTTTTTTTTTTTTTAATTTCGCTGCGCTGGGTCTTTGTTGCAGCACGCCCGATCTTCATTGCTGCGTGCGGGATCTTTAGTTGCAGCATGCGGGATCTAGTTCCCTGACCAGGGATCGAACCTGCGCCCCCTGCATCAGAGGAATGGAGTCTTAACCACTGCACCACCAGGGAAGTCCTATCCTGAGAGTTTTAATCATGAATGGATGTTGAATTTTGTTAAGGGCTTTTTCTGTGTCAATTGAGATGATTGTATTGGTTTTTATTCATTAGTCTCGATATGGTGAATTACACTGATTTTCAAATGTTGATCCAGCCTTGCATTCCTGGGGTAAATCCCACTTAGTCGTGATACCAGTGGGTTCAATTTGCCAGTATTTTGTTGAGGATATTTGAGTCTGTGTGTGTGACAGTTTTTTTTTTACTGTAGTTGTCTTGTACTGTCTTTGTCTGGTGTTGGTATCAGGGTGATACTGGCCTCACAAAATGAGTTAGGAGTGTTCTCCCTCTTGTGTTTTCTGGAAGATACTGTGTAGAATCAGCATTACTTCTTCCTTAATGTTTTGGTAAATTCACTTTCATTTTTTTCTGTCTCTTAATTACATCCAGTGTTCTCCCTATGTAAAAGACATGTATAATGTATATATTTTAAACAATACTGCCCAGTAGGCTGTCGATACTCATGATAAATGTGCTTGCAAATCCACCCACTTTGTTTCAGATCGACCATAAACGCTCCTCCTAAAGAAGTCTTCTAAGTGGTGTTTGGTTCTGTGCTCTTGGCATTGTGCTAGGACAGGAGTTGTAGGGCTGGGAGAGGCCAGTGAAACATGCCAGTGCTGTCTTCTCTTGTTTACAGATGGGGGGTTAACGAGTCTCCTGTGGCTCTGCAGGAGCGACTTCCAGTGCCAGCACTGCGGGCACTGACACACACGTGTGCTGCAGAGGCGTTTCTCGGCTGGCCTGGGAGCCCCCCCACCGTGGAAGGTTGAAGTCAACCCCTTTGCAGTGAGACTGTAGAGCTCTGGTAGACTTAGGACTGCCTGTCATTGAGGAAGAAGGAGCCAGTAAGGAGAACACGTAGAGCACACTTCAGTGTGTCCCAGAGTTCCCCGGAGCTGACAGAGACCACAAAGCCTGGGGGCAGGGCCTCCACTCCACTCTTATGGCCCCGAGTCGGGGAATCACTGATGTACAGAAGGCAGGAAGAGTTGAGATGATGCTGAGAAACAGTAGCTTAGAGAGTTGGCTGTGGGGTTTTCTGGTCCAAACAGCAGCAGGGAGGCCCAAGGAGAACACGTAGAGCACACTTCAGTGTGTCCCAGAGTTCCCCGGAGCTGACAGAGACCACAAAGCCTGGGGGCAGGGCCTCCACTCCACTCTTATGGCCCCGAGTCGGGGAATCACTGATGTACAGAAGGCAGGAAGAGTTGAGATGATGCTGAGAAACAGTAGCTTAGAGAGTTGGCTGTGGGGTTTTCTGGTCCAAACAGCAGCAGGGAGGCCCCGGGAGCTGTCCCTGATGTGGGCTCTGTTCTCTGCAGGTCCTGTCTCTGGACACGAACATCACAAACCAGGTGAACAAGCTAAACCGAGACCTGCTTCGTCTGGTAGATGTCGGCGAGTTCTCGGAGGAGGCCCAGTTCCGAGACCCCTGCCGCTCCTACGTGCTCCCTGAGGTCATCTGCCGCAGCTGTAACTTCTGCCGGGACCTGGACCTGTGCAAAGAGCCCTCCTTCTCTCAGGTGGGCCAGCTCCGTCAGGCCCCTTGCTGGTAAAGTCAGAATATCCAGGCATCAGTGGATCAGGGGGTCCTGCAGTACTCCCTATCAAGTGACCCCAGTCTCCACCTTTACTGGGCTACACCCACTGGGCCCCCAGCTAGCTTTGATGTGAATTAGAAACAAACACCCTTTTCAGGCCACTCAGCTGCCACATGCCAGGACCTTGTCCTGGTAAACACGTAAGTGATGACATTGGTGATGTGAGTGTGCCCTGGAGCTGTGAGCAAGCAGTACCACAGTTCTCACCACGAGCTCTTCTCTTTCCATCCCTTCTCAATACTGGGGCTGAGGAAGGTGACCTGGTCCCTTTCCTTCTCTGCCTAGGATGGGTCTGTGCTGCCTCAGTGGCTCTGCTCCAACTGTCAGGTAGCCTACGACTCGTCAGTCATCGAGATGGCCCTGGTGGAGGCCCTGCAGAAGAAACTGATGGCCTTCACCCTGCAGGACCTGGTGAGCAGCGGGGCCTGGTGCTGGGGCTTTTCTGCACCCAGCCCGACCGCCCCTCCAGTTGGTGGAGGGTTTGTTGATAAGCAGTTCGCACCCACGGGAAACTAGAGGTGTACACAGGTCTCAGCGTCGTTACCTGGTCCTCCAAGGTAACCACCTCTTGGGTCAGGCCTTGGCCATGAGCCCAGGTGACTCATTCATTCCTACAGCATCTGTTAGGCACCTACAGGGGCCAAGTGCTGGCTTCATGGACCTTTTTTATTCTAGTGGAGGGAGATACACAGTAAACAGGACAACTAAGTGATGGTAAGAGTAAAGAGAACCAACAGGCAGTGTGTGAGCAAAAGGGAAGCTTTCAGCATTAGATGGAGGAGTGGTCTCACCAAGAGGGAACATCTCAGCAAAGACCCGAGGAAGGTGTTGCGGTCCAGGCAGGGAACAGCTGGTGCCTGGTGTGATGGATGGGGGAGCCCCAGACTCAGAGTCAAGGGTAGGGTGTCCACCGGGAGGGTGTTGGGAAGCAGTTGGGATGTTTGGATGAAGCCCATTATCAAGTCTCAGATTTTATTCAGAATTGAGGTGAAGGCTATGGGGGAGGGAAGCCTGTCAGGTGCCAAGCGACTGGCCAGCCCTGGCCTGGGCCAGGGAGGCTCCTGACTGGGGCTGCTTCTCATTGCAGATCTGCCTGAAGTGCCGGGGTGTGAAGGAGACCAACATGGCCATGTACTGTAGCTGTGCCGGGGCCTTCTCCCTCACCATCCACACCAAGGTGGGGCCTCCCGTGGACAGCCAGCCCTGCTGCCCCTCGGCCATTGGCCCTTTCTGGGTCTCGGCCTTGCATCTCTGTGCCTCCTCTGGGACTAGTTCTCACTGTGACTGGTCATTCCTGTAGGTCTTCATGGAGCAGATCAGAACCTTCCAGAACATTGCCCAGCACTATGGCATGTCGTACCTCATGGAGACCCTGGAGTGGCTGCTGCAGCAGAACCCCCAGCTGGGACATTAGCAAGCTGGGCAGCGTCCCCATTTTCTGCTCTGACTACCCACATCCAAGACGGGCACCCAGGAAGACGATCCTCAGGGAGCAGGTCATGCAGCCCAGAAGAAGCGTGAACCAGCCAGAGCAAGAAGTGGCTCCACCTCCAGGTTCCCTGGGGCCCCCAGCCTCGGTCAGGGCAGCCCTCTCTAGGCCCAAGAAGCGTCTCCAGCGAGGGGTCCCAGGGCTGCTTTCTCGCTGGATGAACACCCCTCTGCTGTTGCACGGCCCTCCCTGCGGCCCCGGCCCTTCCTGCCCACTTCCTGCCCTGAGGTGCCCTTGGAGGTCTTCTGTTTGAGCCGAGCCCCTGAGGGTGGCTGGAAGCCAGACGCAGGGCGAGGGGCACCTGAGTGGGAGTCTGCAGTCCCAGCTCTCCAGTTCCTTGCTTCCGGGAGAGGTGGCTGTCCTACAGTCCACGCCAGCGGCATGCGGGCCGCATCCTGGAGACCCTGGCTGAACCTGTGGACACCTGGGTGTCTCTCACACACTGAGTTCTGGGGCTTGGGCCCCTCTGTCTGTGGAGATTCCCAGTCAGAGCAGCCTTTGCCGGAGTGTTCGTATCATGGCGTAGTCACCTCGTCGGCAGCAGCGAGACTGGGCGGGGGGCGGGAAGGCTGAGGAAGGGGAGGGTCTCAGGCTGGGGCTCAGCCGCAGCGGGGCCTGGCACCTCTCCCTCTGAATCTGCCTGTGCTGTGAGGGGGCCACTGCAGCAGGAGGCCTGAGGGCCCCGGGGAGGGAGGAGGCGCGCCATTATCGCGGACTTCGACATCATATGTTAGCACCTGGATTCTAGAGAAGCATTTCTTCACATGCAAGACTAGGTTCTTTCCTTCAGGTCTGAGGAGTGGTTGGGAGAGGATGGAGAAAAGGGCAACAGCAGTTTTATCAGGATTGAGGCAGTTCTGTTCTTGCTTCTCAGCCTCAGGGATCAGTACAAGACCTGTGACCCCAAGGCAGAGAGGGTCCTTGGGCTGTGCCCCCTTTAAAATGCGACACTCACCACCAGCTTGTTCAGGGCCCTGAACAGAGGGGCACAGAGATGTGCCCCTTGCTGCACAGAGATGTGGGCCATGCTGTTTTCTCCTCCCGGGTGGGGCTGAATCAGAGGAGAATGGGCCAGGCTGGGGGACCCTTTGCTGAGCATGAGTTCTCGCTCCGTTCTGCCAGCAGCAGCCCCAGAACATAAGATCAACTCTGTGCACCTCATTTCTAACTAAATGCAACTGGAAGCAAAAGAAAACCAGCCAAATTGGCGAGAACACAAACATGTTAAAAGTGAATCATAGGGGCTTCCCAGGTGGCGCAGTGGTTGAGAGTCCACCTGCCGATGCAGGGGACGCGGGTTCATGCCCTGGTCCGGGAAGATCCCACATGCCGCGGAGCGGCTGGGCCCGTGAGTCATGGCCGCTGAGCCTGCCTGTCCGGAGCCTGTGCTCCGCGACGGGAGAGACCACAACAGTGAGAGGCCCGCGTACCACCACACACACACAAAAAAAGTGAATCGTAAACTCAGAAACCCCAAACGGGTGGGCAGTGGGGGCCCCACTGTTGGCTATGGAGCCTGGTTTAAATTTGTTCTCGTTATCTCAATTTACACTTTGGATTTTCGTTTTAATTTTACACTTTGACATTTCCTACAATTTTCACTGTGTGTATGTTTGTGCACTGCGCCTGGGTTTCTGGAAGGAAGGAAAGAAGACTAAGTAACTGACGTCTGTCTGTCTGGGTTTGTTGGCCCCTGGGTACTGCCCACCAGGCGCATCCAGGCCCAGTGACTGCAAGAAACCTGACTCGGCTTGGAAGGGGATGGAGCCCGTCAGCCCCCAGATGGAGATCAAATCAAATTAGGGCCGAGTTGGGGAGGAGGAGGGCTAACGGCGCTTCCTGGAAGCAGAGCCGGAGAAGTCCCAGGGGAGCACGGAGGAGCGAGGAGGTGGGGCTGCGTGTCTCACCCCCCACCCCACCCCACTGTGCTCCCTGCAGCGGGGCCGGGGGCGCCAGCGGAGGCCAGCTTAGGGGCTGGGGGCATCTGGGGCAGTGGAGGTCCCAGGGTCACTCTCATGCTTGGGGATGGGAAACCTGAGCCCCTGGCCCTGGTTCTTGAGCTGCAGCCCAGCTCCAACTGGAAAAGCTGGTTTCTCTAAAACTAGAGCTGGATGTCTATGAGTGAGTCAGAAACTGGATGTCACAGGCATTTGAGTGACCCAGGGAGCTGGCGAGCATAGGAGAATCTGCAGGGGTGCTGGGTGGGGGCTTCTCAAGGGTTTGTGGCTCCAGTGAGTGGTGCTGGTCTCGTTGGCAGGTGGGGAGGCCAGCTCTGACTTCGGGAGCGACGGGGTCACAGGTGAAAGGATCTGTAGGAGGGACTATGCCTCCTCAGGTCTGCGCACCATCATAGCCGTTGCTGGGGAAACCACCGTCCAACCAGGTCGTGGTGTCTTCAGAGCAGGGCCTGGCCAGGCCAGGCAGAGCTGCTAAGTGGAATGACCACTGTAGCATCCAAGGCCGTAACCAGATTACCTGTAGGCCTGATCCAGCTAGTGCCGGCTTCCCACACTCCTCCAACCTCGTCCTGCCCTGTCCACCCCTGTTCCCCAGCACCGAATTCCTTCCTCCACCCCAATCCCCATTTGAAATAGAGCCGCAGGGCCTGGGCGGGCATTTTGGTGTCTGTCAGCCTAAGCTTTCGTTTTCCTTGGGTACAACTCTCATCGCCTCCCTCCTGGCTTTCTTCCTCCTTGAGAGGTTTGGGATCTAGGAGGAGCCTTTTCCTGTATTTTGAGGTTTGGGGCCCGGGATGAGCCCTGCGGGAAGCTGGTAAGTGCACTGCCTGAAGGACATGCTGGGATGAGCCTAGGGGGGTCCTCGTGCGCTCTCAGCCTGTGTGTCCCCCACCTCCATGGCCCCCAGGTCAGACATGACTGTAGCCTGGCTGAACGTGGGGGCAGCAGACACATCCACACACTGCACGCAGGCTGGCTAGGGGGGCGATACGGAGGGCCAAGCACACCAAAAGAGACACCCCGTGCGCAAAGACCTGCCATTGCATGTTTGTCTTTTTAAGAGCCTGAACATGCTTTCCCCGAAGACGAGGCCAGAAGGGTCTGGTCACAGCTTTATTGGATTCTGGATGTGTGATTTCCTGGCTATGAGGTGAGTGAAGGGTCTGGGTAGGGGTGGGTGGGTGGGGGGGAGGAGCAAAGAGCCTGGGAGGAGAACAGCTAGGGAGAAGGTGGAGGTGGGGACTTGCCCCCTACAGGCCCCTGGGCAGTTGGGGGACAAGATGGGCAGGCCGGGAGCAGGTGCCGTCCCCTTCATGTCATCCCACTGCCTGGTTTGCACGGGGCCCTTTGGCTGCTGGTTTTGCTGCGACGCAGTGTTGAGGTGTGTGGGCAGGGCCCAGGTCCGAGGTCCAAGCCATGCTGCCCTGGGGAGCGGGGCGCTCCTGGGGCCACAGACTTCAGGGGCCCCCAACAGGCCCAGGTCTTCAGTGCAGCACGACAGAAGGTGGGAGTGGGCTCAGAGCTGGGCCAAACCTCGGGCGTCTGTGAGAGCGCAGTCCTGTTGGGAAGGCTCAGAGGCGCCAAGCCCTGGTCCTGCACCCCGCTTGGGAGCATCCACCATCTGCTCAGACGGGGCAGAGGTGGGGCAAGGCCATGGGGGTGGGACAGCCCAGGCCTGGCTCTGCCCCTCACCTTGCGGTTGGCCAGCCTGGCCTGGGTCTGCGGAGCAGGGATAGGGTGGGGGAGGGCCCTGGCCCAAAACAAGGGCCAGGATCACAGGCCAGCTGCCTGAGGAAGGCCCTGGAGTACACACCTTGTCAAATTTCTTATGGCTGTAGACCTTGTTTTTGTTCATGAACGTTAGCAAGATCCAGTCGCACAGGAAGGAGCCCTGAGACCAGCAAGACCAATGCGTAAGAGCCTGGCACCTGCCCCCCCGTCCCCCCACCCCCCGGGACCCTAGTGTGCATCCCTTACCACCCCGATAGAGGTCAGCGCTGTGGCCAGGTTAATGATGGTGGGAATCAGGCTGAACTTCCCTGCCTGGAGGCAAAGAGGCTGCCTGAGATGCGGGAGTGGGGCTCAAGGGAGGCGTGGGGTGTGGTAGGAGAGATTGAGGCTGGGCCAGCCCAAGCCTCAGGTAGGCAAGGTGGGCTGGTTTACCTGTCCGTGCACGATGACGTCAATTCGGATCCCGTAGGCTTTGATGAGAGTGCGGGTGGTGCTACCGTTTACTTTGTAATACTTGGCGAACCTAGGGCGGAATGACCCGGAAGCACGTCAGAATCTGGGAGGGAATGACCCGGGTGCAGGAGCCCTGGCCACCTGACCCTGAGGAGCATGACGGGGGGGTGCACCTGTTGCCCAAGTGGGGCAGCTCCAAGGCTCAGCCGACCACTGGCGCCCCTGAACCTTAGGGCACCTGCCCTGTTGACTCCTGGACCTCCACAGCTAGGGCAGACGAGGACCCAGTGTCCCAAGGCCAAGGTACCTGAAGTTGTAGCCAGATGAGGCTGGGACATGCTTGGGGTCGAGCCTCCGGAAGGAGTATTTGGGGTTGCACTTTGACGCCGACAGGTCCAGGTCACAGTCCCAGTTGATAATGACCCCAATTACACCACCCTGTCCAGAAGTGGGCACAGACACGGGGTCAGGGTGGGCTCACAGAGAGGACCTTCAACAGCCCCAAGGTCCTGCTGAGGCTACGTGTGGGGTGCATACTGTGAGGCACCCAGGGCAGCTCAGGGCAGAGAGCTGGGGAAGGGGGCTCGTTGAGTGCCCTGCTTCTGAGGCACAAGGGGATGCCAGGAGTCAATAATTTAGCAGGAGCCATGCACACCCAGATGGGTCAGACGATCGTGTTTCTCTTTCCTCTGCCCGAGCAGGGCCAGGGCTGGCCAAGACTGCAGACGGACTCGGCTGTAATGAGACCCTTTGTGTGCAGGTGGGAGCCAGCACCTGGACGGACAGCTGTCCCACCCACTCTCCCTGGTGCCCTCACCGCGTGTGCCAGCTGCGTGAAGTTTTCCCCCGCCTGCTCCACGATGTAGCCCAGCTTGAAAATGGGGCAGTAGAGGTCAGAGACCTCGTGGAATGTGCAGTGTTTCAGGTAGCCGTCCTTCCGGTTCTCGATGTTGCCCCTAAAGACAAGGCCTAGTGGCATCAGATGGGGAGGGAGCAGAAGCCATGCACCCCCAAACAACATTCCAAGAGGCAAGCCCCCCTGCAGCCTATCCCTTGTCGCCACGCGCTAATGGCTCTTACTTGGAGAACTGGAATTTGGGGTAGTGGATGCTGTTCTTGATGAGGATGGTGAAATTCGGGGCCATCTTACCGAGAAACTGGCTGAGGAGGCACAGACCGGGTGTGTTTAGTCTCCCCTTCTCCCGGTCCCCCAGGCTCCCCCGCTGCGCTGTCCCTCCCGTCCTTCTCGCCCCACACTCCCCGACTCCGGTCAGGTAGGAGAAAGGAGCAAAGGAGCTTGGCCCCAGGTGGGTGGGGACAGAGGGCGTGCACACCTGACTGAGGCCCCGTCCTCCACCGGGCACCAGGCGGACACCTCGCAGGTCTTGGAGGACCCGTGGTAATAAGGCACGCAGCGCCCGGTCCGCAGGCCTGTGGGCAGACGCGCTCAGGTGGCAGATGCGCCCTCAGGGGCGTGGCCCGCCCCCGCCCCCAGTTGGCACACACTGACCGTTTCCCAGCATGTCCAGCTGCCCAGCCACGCAGTCCTCGTCCGAGTCGCACGTGGCGTTTCTGACCCTCATACTCTAGGGAGGAGGCTGCTTGGTCAGGGGCCCGACATCCTTTTCCCCCAGGCACAGCGGACCAGGCAGGGCCCCTCCCTCCCGCCCCGGCTCTGCTCTCTACCCGTCCTCACCTCGGCGCAGGTTCCGAGGGTCTGGAAGGGGGTGACCTCGATCCTGGTGATGATGCTGAACACGCTGCCCCCCTGGGCTCAGAAACAAGGGACGGTCGGCCGGCGCCGGGCAGCTCGGCCGCCGCTCGGTCCCACCCTCGGGGTGCTCGGGGAGGGGGGGCGGGGCCCGAGTGGCGCACCTCGGGGGGTTTCACGTACTCCTCCACGTCCCACACTTTGTGCTCGGACGAAGTGATGCCCTTGACCTTGGTGATGACGGAGCTCTCGGGGCCCGTCTCCCTGTCCTGGTAGCTCTTCTGCACGATGAACACGTACCTGTGCGAACGGGCAGGGCCGGCTCTGGAGGCGACCCCGCGGCAGGCCCGGGACCCCTCCCCTGCCGAGTCAGCTCGACTCCGGCGGGATCGAGGCTGCGTCACCGCCACTCGGGGGCCGGCCGGGTAGGCTCTGCGGCGCCCGAGGGGCCAGCCTGGCGGCCGCCGCCGGCATTCTCCTCACCCC